AGTGGAGAAGTTAAATTGAGAAGTTTCGTTATTATGAGAGAAAACTAGAGTATGGTGGACAAATATCATCATAAGAACGTTAAAATATCAAATGATGTGGTTAGAATTGTATAAGAGTTTAACAATAAGTGCATCAGTGATAATTTTATAAAATGAATGAAATCAGAGTTATGGATTTGAAACAAAGAAATAGTATGGTGTATAAGCAAGAGTGTGGATATGATAAGGGTTTATACTCTAGAAGAAAAGTTAGCGTTGGCTAACGAGATTACATGGTGCAAAATATGTTGATCATATGAATGAGATATAGTGAAGGAAATAACGATACTTATGGTTGAGGGAAAGTAAGGATTGAAAGAGAAGTATAAAGTAATATCAAAAGATCATGTGTATTAAAGTACAGACAAAGATTAAGAAATGATGAAAGGTAGGATATATGATTGGTTAACTAGGGTTTGTGCCCTAGATTGAATAGATGCTATTGACTAGATATTAGAGTAAAAGAGATAGAGTTATAAGATTGGAAGAAAATATAAAGTTGAGTTAATCAATTATGATGTGAAACTGAATATAGTTGTGTATTCTGATCAGATCACTATGATGTAGAAAAGGAGATAAGTATTTGCATGAAACCTTATGGAAGAAAAAAAAATACAAGTATAAGAAATGATAAAGAATGAAGCTCTGTATAAGAAATGGCTGATCAAAGTTATGAAGATGCAATGGAGATTGGTACATAAAGATGAGTATAAGTGATAAGACGAGAGTATATGAATATGAAAGGAAATATATGATTTATGTATAAGGAGATTTCAATTTGGAACAGATAAAGGAATAATGGAATAAAGCAAGGAAAGATTAAGTAAAGGAAGTAATATGAGAATATTAGAAGATATGTTCTTACTGATATGTTCAGTGAAAATTCGAGGAAAAATTTTCTTTAAAGGAGGAGAGATTTGTAACATCCTTAATACCGAGTTAGTGATCAAATTGTAAAGTTTTAGAATTTGGTGACTAGAGTAGAACCATGGATTAGTTCAATGATTTATTTGGAAATAAATCATAAAAGTTGTTGGTAATTATTAAATGAAGTAAAAGGTAAAATGGTCAATTGACAAGGAAATATATTTTCCCCTTTATTAGGAGATTAACACGTGGGGGAGAGGAATATGAAAACTCTCTTCTTCTTCACTTGCTTTCTTCTTCTCCAACGTGCCCAAGCTAGGCAAAGGTGAGTTTCTTTATTTGTTAATTATTAGCTGAAATTTAAGGTTGAGTTTTGATTATTAGGTGATAATTAAGCATAAGAAGAGCTTAAATTATCTTGAAATAATAAGATGAAGAGAATAAAGGGGATTAAAGAAAAGAGAGGAATAAGTGAAATCTTGAAAGAGGGTTCTTTAATAAGATTTTAGAGTGAATTTGACTTGTCATCAATCTAATTAACATGTATGAAGTATTAGAATTGGATTTGTAACATGCTAAAATTTGGGTATGATTCTTGAATTTCTTAAGGAGAATAGGATATGGAGGTTAAAGAAGTGATTATTGAGTAGAAATGAGGGCAAATATGTATATGTAAGTAAGGAATATGAAAGGGGATGAAATATGAAGCATTTGAGTTGAATTGAATGGATTTTCGGGCTTAAAATGCAAATTCTGGGCAAGGTGCATCGATGCACATTGAATGTGCATCGATGCACTCTTTAAAGAAGAAACATCGAATGCAAATGGTGTATCGATGCATAAGGAGTACATCGATGCATCCTTTAAAATGAAAACATCGAAGGTAATTTGTGTATCGATGCATGGGTAGTGCATCGATGCACATGTTAAAGAATGCATCGATGCACTGTAGCATGCATCGATGCACTTCAAGGGGAAATTGAAATATACATTTCTTCTAGTCTAAGAAATGATAGATTAGATTATAACAATGGGATACTGATATGTATCAATGTATAATTATGTAGATATCGAACACGAACAAGTTCTGGGTTGTGTATCAAGGTAAGATTCGATCGAAAGAGATGAAATCATAAAGTGGATTGAAACTTAGTGAGGTCAATGTGAGTGCAATTTTATTGTACTTATGTTATCGAATAAGCATTGGCTTGCGACGAGCCAGTGATGGAGTTACTATGGTAATAAGTAACTCGTCAAATGTTATTTGATCTGTGAATTCTATGTATGCATGAGTATATGTGACATGATTTATATGATTCATATGATATATGATACTAAACTACATGAATATATGAGAATATTGTATCAGTGGAATGATAGGTTTGACATGTTATTTTATGTGATACATGTTTACATGATCACAAGACATGAGTTATATGAAAGAGAAAGAATATATGATATGTGAAAGTGAATCATATGTTTACATGAAAAGTGACATGAATTGCATGAAAGTAAACTATGTGACTATATGCACATGTGATTTGTGACAGAAGAAAAGTAATATGTAATCGTAAGAGCAATGAAAGTGTATAAGTGAAAATGCTCATGTTATGTATATTGAGAGCTAGAGGTATAGTTGGCATGCCAAGAGTCGAGGGTTTACCTATGTCTTTCGAGATATATGGACAGTTTACCTAGGTTATTCGGGACCTATGGACAGTTGCCGAGGTTCTTTATGACCTCTGGATAGTTGTCGGGGTCTTTGTGACCTCTGGATAGGTCTTTCGGGACATTTATACGAGTTGTGGTGACAGCATAGTGGTGCACAACCTCAATAGACTCACGTATCTATAGTTCTCACATGTGTACCATGGGCTAATAAAGAGATAACATTAATAAACTGAATATGATGATATGTTTGTTTCCTTATTAAATGTTATGTGTGATATATGATGGTACAAATGGTAATTATAAGATTATATGATAAAAGGAATCAATGATAGTGATAAGAGATATGAATGAAAATGACATATATGTATGTATTTGTTACATATAACAGTATATGAGTTGTAAGAAATGATTACTAGTAAATGTTTACATTATATGTTTATTGCCTCACTAAGTCATAGACTTAGCGCGTGATTGTTTCACACGTAGGTTATAGAAGTGAGAAGAGTAAAGAGCAATGTGGAGCAAGACAGGTCAGTTCTCCTTACTGAAGGTCAGATCAGAAGAAAGATGAATAATATGTATGTTAACAACTAAAGTTTTAGTTGGCATGTATTCAAAATAATGTATTGTATAAGCTCTGAATAGTTTTGTAAACTTTTTGAATAAGTTATATGTTATAAAAGTTTAAAATCATTCACTAATTTTGTACAAGCAAAAGTTTTGAAAAGTCAATGTGATACCTTGGACTCTGTTCCGGGTCGGATACGGGTTGGGGGTGTTACAGTTTTCACATAGGAGAAAATTGGAATAATATATTATGGCTATTAATTAGTATATGAATAAAATCAGAAATAATCAATTAATATTAGCTTAATTAGAATATAATCGTGAACTGCAAGTCATACCAAATTAATATTTGAATTAAAAGGAAATCATATAATATCATTTTTAATTTAGAATATTAAAAAAATACCACATTTAAAGAAAATATTTAATTAGTAGGAGGTAAAATAATATAATATCTTATATTTTCACGAAATTTTGAATAAATAATTTGAGTCTTGAGACATCTCTATTAAAATATTATTGTAAGAAAAGATAAGATTAGGTTAATGATTAAATTTTTATTATATCAATTTCATAAATGGCAAATCATTTTTTCATTGTTTAGTTATTAATGATTAAAAATTTTAATTAATTAAATTTATATTACTTTATAATAAATGATTAAAAGTTAAATTTATTCATAGCAGGTGTCACATCTGTAATTTATTTAATAATTTATTTAAAATAATTATTTATATTATTACTTAGAAACTTAATTCTACAATAGATAATATTATTGAAGAACAAAAGTTTATAATAAATATGAATAAGACTTTGAGTGATAAACTCTTATAATGCTTAAAATAAAATTTTAATTTCCATCAGATTCACCAAAATAACATGTTAAGAATAAAAAGTGTGCACCAACCTCTGAAGATCAAATGTCAAAATTTATAAATAATACGTATATTATATATAAATCGTAGATTTAATATATATATTTTAATTTATTTAATTTTAGTAATTTAATTTTTAGAATTTAAAATTTTAGTCTTAATTTAAATAATATATTATATAAATAAACTATAAGACCATAAATCATCAATTTGTAAACTTAATTAAATCTACAACTAATGTAAAATACAAATACTAATGACAAATTTTAATTTAATAAATTTACAGCTATAGCTGGATAAGGTCGAATTGACCATCTAGCTCAGTTGGTAGAGCGCAAGGCTCTTAACCTGTGGTCTTGGGATTGAGTCCCACTGAGAGCAATTCATAACGGAGGTCTTCCACGAAGCTGCTCTCAACCTAGCGTTGGGGGCAGCCTACTACCTACCTCCCCCTTACCCCATTACATATGGGAATAGAGTCAGCAAAAGCTTGGATAAGGTCCTAAGGATCAAAAGTTCAAAATCTGAAAAGTGCAAAAAGTAAAAACAACCAAATAAAAGTACAAGAACTAAACCTACAATTTATATAATGGAAATACTAATCATAGAATTTAACCATTAAAGAATATCTTGGAAATTTATTTTTATGTAAATTATATATAATTTTAATTGTCGATTCAAAAAATATATTTGGATAAGCTTTTCAGTTATTTTTAAAAGTGTAAAACAGTGATGTAACTTTATCAAGTGATTTTCCATTTTTAGTCTTTTCTCCACTCACGATGTTGTAAAAGGAATGGCGAAGGGCAAAGCCTTGGTATTATTATTTTGAGCCACTATTCAATAATTATGCATATTCCAGCTTAGTAGTTTAGTTGAAAGAGAGAGATTACAATGATAAAGAACAAAAAGTATACAATACAAGTTACACCAAATCTCAATCTCTACTTTTAAAGGAAATTATTTGGAGGATTCTCTCTTGCTCTGAACATGGATCATCAATTTCATCTTATTTAATATTCTGGCTGCGTTGTGTTTTCCATTGAAAATAAATAGTTGAATTAAATGCACAGAATGCTATCAAAATCAACCTTTAACAGTTGACAGTTTCGGAGGTAAACCCCTAGTAAACTCTCTCCGCCGTGGATACCGGACGAAGGAAGACAACGACGACTGTTACATTATCTTTACTGCCACGTGCTACAGCTTCCGTCGCCAATCTTTTCGAACACATTGCAGGCTCTTTAACCGTATCCCTAATGATGGTTATCACCTCCGTGTCGCCCACAACATCCCAAAGTCCATCACTAGCCATTACCTGCCAATCAAACCCTATTTTAAGATACATTTTCTTAAAACTCGTCTATTCTAAATATTAGAAGTCCAATTGTTATCAGTCATAAAAAAATGTTCTATTTTTAACAGCGAAAATGAGCCTTACCAGGAACTCATCTTCTGCCGAAAGTACAGTTTCAGTTATCTCGGGTTCTGCAGTTACAGCAGGCTTCAGATCATCATCACCGATGGAGCGAGTTACCTATTAAAAGACACATCAATAGAGGTGGTATTTGGCATGTTAAAGGATTTATAAGCTTTTCATTCTACCAAGCATTTGCATGCAGAACCCTTAAAGAATTAACTTCTACCTTAGTCAATATTGCAAAGATTTACAGAGGGGCAAACCTGAAGTGCAGCACGACCAACCCTCCATGTATCAACTTGCCATTTTACTTCCCCCCTGCACTGATAACTCGGTTTCTCTCCTCAGGACAGCTTGCAACATGATCCTAACATGTCAGAGTCAACTAGTTTTAGCATAGTAACATGCAATAGTTGTACAATATATGACTAACAAATTAACATAACTTACCCTGCTTAGAGCTAAGGGACATCCTCTCCGACATAAAATTGTCCTGCAATCACCTGCATTAGCAACAAAAAGCTTGTTTCTAACTATTAGAGCAGCCGCTGCCGTGCAGCCAGGATGCCAATCTTTCTGGATAACCCTCCTTGATTTTCGATGAGAATCAAGTTCATCTCTAAATGCAACATCTGTCTTAACAAATGCTTCCACCAGTGCATCAGCAGGACTGCACTCATATATACAATTATTTAGTCCATAAAATAGATAATAATTTGATTGAGGCAGGCAAAGCAGCAAAAGTGATACACACCTGCTTGTAGAACCTAAGGTTTTCAGAAATTCAGGCAATGCTTGAACTGAAAACTCAGCTGCTGCACCACCTGCAAATGTTATAAAGTACATAAACTTATATCCATGGTAAAGGAACAGGAAACTAGACTAAACCTGAACACAGACAAATTTAGTAACTTCAAAGTGGCAACAGCTTCCATAGGTGGGGGGAGTGAAGTATTAGGGTTGATTTCTTATTAGACAAGATTGCCTTTTCAGAAACGATTTTATTTAAAAAATTCGAACACTTAACCTGGTGTCCTACTTTTCTTTCGATGTTTTTATTTAAAATGGCTTTAGAGTCGCAATATTAATTGCCTAGAAGTTTCTGGTGGCCATTACAAGCATTTATCCTCATATCTAATCTCTTCTGCATCTTCAGCATTGTCATTGTTTTGCATACCTCTATGGCCATCAAAGACACCAAAAGCATGAACATCCTTCTCGTTGCATACGAAAGGCATAAGAAAATGTGTGTCCTCCATACTCTCCCTTCTCCCACATGTAGCAAAGGATCCCCAAGAAAGCAAAGGAAGGTATGCCAAAGAATCATCAAAAGAATCCAGCCACATTCTCAAACCAGAATTTACCCCAAATGAAGTTCCTTTGGATAAACATTCTCCCTGTGTAGACCAGTTAATCTTTTCCTGATAGGTATGAAGGTTCTTAACGCTATCAATGACTTGATGACCATGGGAAATGGAAGATAGTTGAAGAGAAAAACCTTCTTTCCCCATTTTCTTTCTTTGTTGCAGAATACCATCCAGTTCTAACACTATATCATCAAAAGAAGGCCTATTTTGAGGATTTGCATCCCAACACTTTTGAATTAGTGACAGCATACTTGCTGGTATTCCAGAGTCAATACCAGCGAGAACTGGTCGCAGTCCACCAGAGCTCACAGCTGCAGTAAGTTGCTGTTCAGTATAGTTCATCTCCAGAACAGTGTGGGCCTGCCAGTAGCAATAAATTACAAATAACTACTAAAATTTTAACAACAAAGAGTTTTCAATAGCTATGGTCAGAAATGTAAAAGCAATTAGCTTTGCGGTAATCCAATGACCATGCTCCATGTTAAAAAAAAAGCAGAAAATAAATCTGTGTGGACACAATTTGTTTCTCTCTTCAATTCTAGACATTAAATGACCAGCATGAAACTTATAGAAAGTGCAAACTAAGATTTACTTTTGAACATGATTTGTTGGAAGAGAAATTGCAGTGAGGAATGAGATTGCAAAAAATATTTGGCTGCATTTTGTTCTATAACTTACCATTCATCCTAAGTTAATTCAGATGCAAAAATCGTTAAAATTCAGTTAGCTTAAAATAATATGGAAGGAAAAAGATAAAAAAGATATAATTCAACTTGATTAATATACAAGCACAACTTGTTCAAAATTCCTCAAACTTTCTTTTAAAGTTTGTCCACCCCGCTAATTAATTTTGACTGCTACCTGGAGCAGGTAGCTCTGAGTTGGAAGCAGCTTATATTTGGTTTTGCTGCCTGGCACAGGGTAAGCATTGTAGGAAGAAAAGAGGAATCAATTTGTCCTTTGAAAGCACAAAATGACAGTAAAATAATCATAAACAAATAGATGATTATATTGAATTGGCCAATGAGGATACTTCTTCACGCGCCAGAAACTCCAACATAAATAGAACAAATTTATTTGCCACTTTCCCCATTAATCTCCAAGTAAACAAATGTAGGAACAGAACTTATATCGAAATGAGCTTCCTTGAGCACAACCTAGATATTCTCTGTAAAGGCTAATGACTGAACAATTTTCCTTGTTACTTGGGCCACACAGATAAATCCGGCAAGGTGACTGACAGATTTATTAAGATAATAATATGTAACCTAATCTGAGATCTCTTCAGTATAATACTAACAAGCAATAGGTAATCTAAGCATTAAACAATAAGCTATGCCTTGGAGATTGAAAATTTTCTCGATAAGCATATGCAAATTCAAATTAGTCTGGTACTGAACAATATCACTTATCAACAAAAAATGTTAAGCATAGTCAAGAGAAGACTGACCTGAGCTTCAGCACGGATATCAGTGTATGGGACAATGCCGGTTAGCAGTTCACTGCAATTAAACGGAAATCAAGTTTCATGGTTATAGCCCTACAGAGCAGCAAAAGAACTAGATTAACCATAGCCTAATGTTTCACTGCAATTTATCAACTATTGAATTCAAATGACAAACAAGGAAACATTACTCCATAATGCATAAGCAAAACATGATTAACCATGCTAGAGCATAGAAATCTGGCTCAAGGTGGTATCACTTAACAGTTACTGTAAGAGCTAATTATAGTACCCAGGCAAAACCAGATCCAGTGAATAGTGATCCACCTAATATGCAATTGTTGTAGGGCTTTGGGAAGCAGGGATGTCTCTGCATATGAGGCATTTATGTGTACAGTACCTACTGGCGGCAGTGACACTAAAAATAGAACAAACACACAGATAGAGACAATGTGCATACCATAGAAGTAAAGATGAAAGAAAAATGATGGAAAAATAGATTCAACTTGTAAGGGCAGTGATTAGGGTATGTTTTCACTATTTTGATCCGACTCTTCAGTTTCCATAGAGTACCTAATTTGAAAACATATCCACTGGACATGGGTATCAAGGTACCCTAAATATATGAAAAAAACTTAGAAAAATGAACATACATGTGTTGAACACATTTCTCTATTCAACTCACCCCCGATTCCAAGCAACATATTCAACATTGATTTCACGAGATCTAAATTTTCACATCACAAAATCCAGCAAAGTTACCAAAATGTTTACTACAATGCAAGAGTTAAATTCTAACAATTCTGGCACTTCAATAGAAACATTAAGAGATTAGTACTGAAATAAATCTTTATAATGCAAAGGACCAAAATGTTTTTTAACCCAATCTGAAATATTGTATATACTTCCATTGCCCCACAAAACGAAAATCTTAGCATTTAAGATGAACAGCAAACTAGCCTATGAGCATATTTTGAAATTAGGTTAACGTGCAATCTATATTGTATGTTAGCATAGCAAGAATCCTTATTCATAGACTATATAAACAATACACTGTTAACAGAAGCTTCAAGAATCCTTATTCTTACTTGATGGACACTCCAAAGCTGTAGACATCTGATTTTTCAGTATGTATCTCCTTCGTCAATATCTCAGGGGCCATGTAAATAAGAGTTCCAACCATATTTTTTTTGTGAAAACCACCTGTTGGCTTACCTGATGATCTCCAATTCTCGATAGAGACTCTTCTGAGATCCTTCTTATACTCTGCCAAACCAAAGTCAGCTAGGTGTGCAGAAAAGTTTCTGTCAAGCTGCATATGCATTAGCGGTGTAATATAACTTTAAGCTCAAAAGTCAATCAATTAAAATCATTTTTCTAATAGCATCTAACACCAACCAGATAATAAGGACAACTAAAGAGATCAGAAGATTATAAAAGGAAAATTACAAGAACATTTGCTGGCTTCACATCTCTATGTATGATTCCTTTGTTATGCAGATATTGCAAGGCCTTCGCTGGAAGAAAAAAACAACAGAAAGAGCACAAGCTGTAACATCATTAAAAAGGAAATTTAGTAATTTTATGTTCTCTGATACCAAGCATTTATGTTTCTAGCATTGTTTCAGAACAAAAGCCAAATAGCCATTTCTCCGTATAAACTGAAAAAAAGTACTTTTAATAGACCCCTGAACACCCCACATCAACCATACTGAAAAACCAAAGTTTCAGGTAAAATCAAAAGCATGAAACAGCACAAACTCTCATTCAATGAAGCATCCTAGCACCTAAAGCAATTCACTGTTGTCCAAGCTATGTCAATATAATCTTAATATCTCCAAGCTTATGATCAGGACTCAGCTGAATTGACAATTGAATCCAAAGTTCAGCAGTAAAAGTAGCATGCGTTATTATCAAGTTTTTTAATAATGGAGAATGAAGATATACCTAATTGGAGCATGATTGAGAGCGCCTGATCAAGATCGGGAATCCATTCTTGCACGTGTAACTTATGAGCCAGATTGGTTGTTCGTAGAATTCGAAGAAAAACATATAATTGGGAGGCTTGGCATGCGCGGCGACGAGGGTAGCAATGCCAGGATGGTCTAGCTGGCAAAGGAGCTGCAATTCCTTGTGAAATTTATCCAACTCCTCCGAGGTAGACAGGATTGGCTTCCTAGCAGCAACTCTCTTTCCATCCAAAATTGCTTCGTAAACAACGCTTTCAGCCCCTATCACAAAAAAAAAACACAACAGGTAGCAAATTCTGCGTACAAAGTAAGGGCAAGGAAAAGAAGAGAAGAAAAGGTTACCCCTGGCAACTGGGGATAGAAGAGAGAAGGAAGAAGGAGGAAGGTGAAGAGGGATTGAATTGCTAGAGCAGCAACCTCTAACGCAAGTGTTTGGCTCCACTATGTCTAAGCCCATTTTCCGTCCACTAATTTTCCAGCGGGAAACCCAAAATAAGAGGGATGGGATTTGGATTTGGGAAGTTTCCCGGCAACAGAAGCTTCTATGGAAATTTCCCAAATCTGTGTGCTTAACTGTCGGACACTTCTCTGTTTGTCTTTGGTTGCTCCTGTTTTATGGTTCTGTATCGGGAGAAGTTCTGCCATCACTTATTTTTTTTGCGGTAAACTATACATTTAATACCCAACTATCCCTTTTGTTCCGTTTTGGTCACCAAACTATTTTTTTCAATATCATAACTAACCTTTAGTTTTATCTTAGTTACCTGCATTTAAAAATTACTAACATGTCACCATAAATTAATTTTATGTTATCATAGAAAAATAAAAATATTACGTTAATATTTCTATTAATTTTTAAAATTATTGACTAAAATAAACTAAAACATAATATTACGTATCATTATAAGAAAAATAGTTGGTTGACAAATGAAATAAAAGTGATAGGGGAGATACTAAATGCATAGTTTATCCTTTTTTTTAAGTCGTATTATTTTAATGTTTAACATAGCATAATAGGTTTGAAACTGTGTATAGTCTTCCACAGCGTTTCCTTCTTCACGTATGGTCCTCGTCGGATTTCATATGCTGATTTGAGCGAGAATTGGTGTTTGTTATTCCCTTTCCAGCCTGTTAAATCGCACTCTAAGGTTGCCACTGGTCCTTTATAGCTGTCATTCGAAGCAATATATTAACTGATAGGAGTTGTTAGAATTTGTCCCACAGCCATTCACCTGTACTATTATAAGAATCAAGAAAGCAATGAAAGAAAAGTATGATTGTCTTTCATATACGTTAAGAAAGAATGATACATCAAGTTGTTTATATACAAAAGTTATGAACTATCTAACTACTAAAGCTCAACAGAAAAACTAACAGTTACCTAAACTAACAAATGGTTAACAAATAATACATCCTAATACCCCCTTCAAGATGGGACTGCATGGATGTTAAGAAGGCTCAACTTGGTAATAAAATCACGATGCATGGGAGCTCGAAGAGTCTTTGTAAACACGTCAGCGAGCTGATCTAAAGAACGAACATGAAAAAACTTCAAAAAACCAGTCTTGACCTTGTAACGTAAAAAGCGACAATCAACTTCAATGTGTTTAGTTCGTTCGTGGAAAACTTGGTTGGTTGCCAAATTAATCGCAGCTTGGTTATCACAATACAAATGAACAAAATCGATGAAGATTTGAAAAGAAAAGAGGACAGCCAGGAAGTACTGTCGGCGTCTTATTTGCACCATCATCCACGACTCATATGGCTCCTCTTCCGATGGGTCAGCGGAGCAAATCACCAGGATCATGGTCGTGCTTTTGTTGCTATTTTTTGGGGTAACCAGGCGATTTGAGTCTTGATCATTCATCAGTATGTCTCCAGGACGTTGTTCTTTATGGTTGAAAGTGCAAGCATCTCGCAGATGACCAAATCACCCACACGATAAGCATATAAGAGGAAGATTTTCATATTCCACATTCTGAATTTTTTTGCCTATAACCACTCAAGAGATTAGCCTTTTTTTGAGGTCGACGTAGACCGCCACTCTATGGCAAATCTTCTTCTATTACTTGTATTCTTGTGGAAATCCAGTTTCACCATTTTCCCTACAAGCTTGCCAATTAGTTAAAACATATTTTTTATACATAAACTCCGACAACCTGGAAATCGAATCCACGCAATGACTGTGGTCGGATACGGTTGAGTTGTGCTGAATTCCTTGTCCAAGGTTGAACGGTAAGATATTGCCCATAAACGATTCAAGGTCCTTCAGAGAGAACCTTACCATTGTCTTCTTTCGATTGCAATCTAGCTAAGAAATAACCATTCTTTAGATCCATACGGTGAACGGTTGTGTCGGTTTCCAAAGGGCGAAGGTTCTATTAGTAAGAAGATCCGATATTTCTTCCTAAAAGTTTCAAGACGACTGTTCGGATCCTACTCGCTTCCATGAGTTGGTAGGCTCTATTCAAGAATTGGATAGAGGATAGCCCAAACTTAGTTCCCATTCTGATATCTTCATCTGTAATGTCAATGTCCTCATCGTTTTCCATATGGCCACCATCATTGCTAGAATCGACACAAGAATTACTTTTCAAGGATGCGGCATAAGTTTGAAGCATTTTTTTGACATTGAGTTTTCATCCATTGGTGACATTCTTCTTTCTCCTTCCCATCTCGATCTGAATTAGAGCGGCTATGGACACCCTACGACAAGCTGGCTAAGAATCCAAGAGAAGTAACTGGAAGGTTGGCAAACTTTAGGTGTTATATCAGAGAGGAGTTGCAGCTGCTCCGTTAGCCGGAAGCGGCCACGCTGCCCCCTTAGAGCCAGGTTCTTGCTATAAGCAATAAATATAATGTGTTGAATGACTTGCAGTGATGATTCCCAGTTATGAAAGAAATCATTCGACTCATTTTTAACCACTTACATAATGGAAATTTCTAATAAAAAGGCTAGATAATGTCGTCAATAGATCAGGGTGCAAATGCTGTTTCTTATATGTTTACTAAACTATGGGTGAAAGTGGGTGGAATGACAGTTTTAATATCAAATTTGAGATTGACATCGATCTTTATTCGATCCTCGAACAACTCCTACACCCTCACCTTCACAAAGAGAATAATATTAGCTGTTTTTATATGCCTGTAGGGAAGTACTACAGGTGTGGTTTTCTAAAGTAATAAATTTTTATTATATAGTTTCACCTTTGCAAGTAAAGGAGTCATTCTCAAAGCAGTATTTTTTTGGTAAATTACACGTATGATATTTAATTATTGGATATACTAATAATTAAACATCGATTTTTTATTTTGTCAATCAAATCATTTGATTATTTAAATAGTGTTAATCAAATCACTTGTATTCAACATTGATGTGACATTTTGATATAGTTTTATTTGTAAAATCTTTAAAAACGTAAGAATGAGAATATAATTTAAAACACAATTTTTTAACTAATATAATTTAATATTAATTAAATATAATTTTACATTAATTAAGAATGAGAATATATTTTATTTTATAATTTTTATATAGTTTTATTTGCAAACTCTCATATAACTTTACATTAATCAAAATATAATTCAGTTTTATAAAGTAAAAACAATAAACTTCCTTATACTAAAAATAAAAAACAAAGATGCATGTAGATGTATTGTTAATTTGTTATTATAAAAATAATTAATGCCTTTTCCCATTTATGCGTGGTAGCTGAAGAGAATATTAGAGAAGAATAAATAAAAGAGAGGAAAATGAAAGAAAAAGCAGAGGCAGCAAATTGAGGCTGGTATCTAAGAATCTGAAAGCCATATAACAGCGGCGGAGGGGAGGGTTTTGTCCTTCTCTCTCTCATTTCTATATTTACTCGCCACCAATCTTAATTTTACTTTCTTCCTTTTTGATATCTAATACTAATCTCCAAACCATACACCACCGGCGCTGAGAGGGTTTTCTCCATCTCTCATTCTATTACTCAGGTTCCCTTTCTTACTTTCTTTTTGCTTTCATTTCTACTTTTTTTTTACTGATTAAACTCATCCGTTTGTATGCATAAATGCTTCTTATATGAATTCTCTTTTCCTTGTTTTCCTTCTTCGTCTTTCTTGATTAGAATTATCGGATTATATCTATCGAATTTGGATTTTCTTGTTCTAGGCTTGGCCTTTGTCCCTTGGATCTCTCATATTTTGCTGGGATAGTCTGAGACGAACAAGGGGGTTTTTTAGTGTTTTTTACGGATGGAACACTTATACCCATTTTATGTGTTTCGATGCTCCTCTGCACTAGATTTTCTCTTCCCGCATATGTTTCTCCTTTTGTGATTTTTCAGTTCCTTTTGGTGTTGAATCCTTTTGATATTTTTGGGAAGTGTTACTGTTGCTTTGGGCATTCTATCCCTTTCATGTCATATGGGGTTCCTTTGTTTTTTTCCTCTTTAGTGTTTTGGGAATTGAGGTTTGATTTTGAACAATCCTGGTATTTGGGCTTGCTTTTTCCATAGGATTAAGGGACTGACCACTACAAAATTATTGTCATTATGCATACGAAATTTCAATTTATTTGCTGCAAGAGGCATGCATCTAGGTCTTTGAGGACACGTTTTCTCTTCAACCTTTTTTCTGACAGTTTGGTGCCTTTTGAGGACTGATCCCTTTCTTTTGTCTTGAGGGTTGAAACTTAAGTATTTGCTTCATTTGTGACTTTTTTGGGCTGCTGAGGATTCGCTGAACTGATAGTGTATTAATGGAAAAAGGAGCGAAATTGTTGTGGGGAGTGAAAACGTGCACTTAGAGGGCCCTTGGTTTACTGGAACGGATACTGAGGAAACTGAAATGGGACAACCAAACAGTGAAATTCAAGGCTTTCGACTGGAAGAAGGCGAATCAAGTAATGTGGTTTTCTCAACTGAGGCAACCCTTGTAAGTAAAGAGTCATCAACGTCTGGTAGTTGTAGTTGTAGCGTGAAGAAAACCAAACCTAGGGTAGCTGCTAAAGACACAGAGTTCTGCCAGAAGGACAAATCCGTGCATGTCAAGAAGTCAGTCGTCAATTCAGGATTGAGTTGGGCCAATTATTTCAGGGAGCTGTGAGTTCCCATGATTGGGAGCTTGCTGAGAGTTTAATCTCGTCAACAGATCCACAGACTCTAAATGATGCATTGTGTGTCACCTTGGATGCTATCTGGTTTTTGGGCACCCAGCAGCAGCTGTATGGGATTACCGAGTTGATTAAGAAGATCATTGCTAATGGTGCTTATGACTTTACTAGAGCCGCTCTCCGGACTTCATTTCTTGCTTCTTGTGTCTCGGCTTGCCAGAGTCGCATGATGAGTCTTGCAGACACTGTAACTGTGATGGCTCAGAGGTAAGCAAGCTGTTTCTTTTTACTTGTAGATGGATAAAAATTGCTTCTTTTAATTCTCTCGAAACACATTAATGTTGTCATGAGGGAAAAACAATGGTGGTGTCAGGCTATCATGTATTTCTATACAGGTAAATACGAGTCTCATTTCTAGTTTCGTTAAGCCACAAGTTGTTGTTCTATGCTCCTGGAATAGGGATCACCTATAATGCTATCTTTACTTTGAAATTCAATTTTACTCTCTACTCATTTATTTCATTTTATGTAACAAGAAACTGTTTCTTGTTAAGGCTTTACTTCTGTTGGATATGTTTATTATGTTTGTGCTATATTTTAAATATTGGTGAATTCACTGGTAAGGCATTTGGTCTGTTAATGGTATCATGCATGCTGTTTGACATGCTTATTAGACTATATCAGTTGCCATGTATACTTATGCTCAACACTCAGGGAACTGTTCTCTGTATTATTATACTCACTGCACTTATGTTCATCATAAAAGAGACGCTTAACATTGTGCATTTCTTGCTGCCTTTTGGTCTAGTTAGTTTCTGAGAATTGAAGATGACTTTGAATTAGTTATTTGAGGTTGGATCGTTTATGTGTGGCTTGTAATTCAGAGTGCACCGACTTGATGTAGGTTTAAAGAATGATCCATAAAATATAGGCTTTCTGTTCCATGTCATTGATTTTGCAATTGCTGGAAAGAAATGAAATCGGTAAAAGTTACTGCTCAAATTATTTCCTCATGCCATATGACACATTGTGAGTGACTTCTGTAAAAAATGCATGGGGGAAAAATGGAGTTCACCATTGCTTTTTCCTCATTTTTGTAGAAGACATTGCTTAACCGGTTATTCTTTTGTATGTGCTAATGTTTTGTTTTGATTCTCATTAGGTTGCATGAGCGCCTCCAAGAATGCCATGGGGATGAGGTCTTGAAGGCAGAAGCTGGTGCCAAGGTCCAAAAGTTCACTGAATGGGCTTTGAAATGTATAGGTTCCCATTCTCGATGTCAGGGGAACAACGACAGAGTGAATCATTGCTCAGCTATTGAAATCCAACTTCAGTTAACTGCATTTAAGACATTCCTAGATCTTGCTGGCAACCAACTTACAGGAAAGGATTTTACAGAAGCATTTGATGCAGCTTGCTTTCCTCTTACTCTATTCTCTAGCTCATTTGATTCTGGTTGGGCTTCTGGGATCTCAGCCACAGTTATCCAAGGATTGTTGGATATGTTGGTGGAGGGGGGTGCAGACAATGTTAACCAGTGTTTCCTTGAAGCCTCTCGGTTTGGCAGTACAGAACTTGTCCGCATTTTATTGCAGGTGGGTATTAATTCTTTGGAGTGGAATTTGAACTTTTGCTTATTTACTGCCAACATTTTCAAGATGCTTATTTGCAATTTATTCATTATTTGTTGAAAATGCATTGACATTGACCAAGGTTCGGTTCTGTGAGAGGTTGGGTGAAAAAATAGTGCTGCTATGTGCATCCTGTACACAGAGCATTGATATGCTAGGAAATTACCACTCCAGCCTTTGAAGTGAATAAAATCTCATTCTATTTGGTGATTGATTCTCACAATTTATCTTATCCTTGGACAGTACAAGTTTCTTGCTTCTTTTTTAATGAAATCTCACTCTACACACTTTAGATACGGTTACATGTAGTCATGGAATTATTCAGGGTTCTTGCATGTAAACTATTTTCAGCTTGGAGATATCAGGGGTATTGAAATGGCAGTCTAAATCCCTTAAATATAGTCTGATCCAGTTATGTCCTAGTCATAGCATTCCATTTTATTCTTATACTGTGTAAGATTTGCTATTCCCTCACCCTCTCTCTCTCTTAAATGCGATGAAGGAATCCCAAGCATTTAGATTGAAAAACATGCAAGTGAATGGGAATGCTCCTGTGTTAAACTGTACGGTTTTTTTTCTTGTTCAGACACGAATGAGCCGACAGATTCCATGGAAAACTTAAATTGTGAACCAAAGAATCACACCCATAATCTGGTTTTTACTTTTTCTCGTAACCATGGAAATTCACGTGTGCTTTCTCTTATTTGCTATAAGAAAAGTTTTTTCCCTTTTTAAAAGGAGAAAATATTATTATTGTCATTATTATTACTATTATTTTGTACTGTAATCTGACATTTCCTTAATTATCTTTGTTGGTTTATGTGGTATTTGTCTGGCCTAGATCGCCCAACGGAATAGCTTGGATGTTGATGTTGATCTTGCCTTGGGTTTTGCCTCACATTACTGCAAGATTGGAACAATGGAGTGTCTAGTAGAAGAGGGCAATGCCATGGCGTTTTTGGGACCTTTAATGAGGGCAGCTGAAAGAGGTTGCATGCAGGTTGTCCAGTGGTTTGTTAAAAGAGGTTGTCGAGACATGAAGCTCTGTCTGGCCCTCACTGCTGCTACCTCCAGCAGCCAAGTTGGTGTAGCTGCATATCTTCTACCCCATGTTCCTAAGCATGTCCTAATGGCACTCAGCATTGAAATTCTCAAGGCTGCGGGTGAAAGAAGTGGCGGATCACTCGATGGTGTTGCATTTCTCCTCCAATCCGACTTCTTAGGTGATCCTGTTGCTACTTACGCAGTTGCAGACAGCATTGCCAAGTCCGATGATGAGGCTGTTGCTCCTGATCTGAGGGCATTTGTTCAAGAGCACTGGTCAGAGGCAGCGTTCTTGGATGGATTAAAGCAAGGACAAGAACATTACACGAAGGTAATGCTGATTCTGAAGAGGGGTGAATCTCCAATAGCTTAAGGGATCTACCAGGCCCTTTGAGGGTGGGAATTGCATACATGCCACTGTACAGGGAGTGTATCGAGGTGGATGGTCTTTTGTTATCACAAAGACTGAGGGGACAGCTTGTTGAAGCTGTTCGAATGCTTGGAGGTGAGGTATCAGAAGAGTAAATCAAGCAGAGAGCTCTTAGGTATTTTGGAGCATCACCTCCCTCCATTTTTGGTTCGTGCTGCAAGTGTGGGTTGGCAACAAGTAAATTTTATCGACTAAATCTTTTTACACGTCCCCTGTGCCATATACTTTTTTAGCAATTGGTACGTCACAAAGTTTATAAGTTTGTCAAATTTCCATACATCGTGTGATTTGGTTAAATGTACGATGTCTCCCAACAGCGCTTCTTCTATGGCACCCAAATCATAATCTGGAGCTGTATGTTCATCTATAATGTAAGACACAGAGCCACTATTTTCCATATATGTATATATATGCACACACATATATTCTAAAATACCTATTTTAGCACCTCTAAATTTTCACTTTTCCCCCCTTTTTTTATTTTTCGGTCCAACCTTTCATTCCATAGTCGGTTGTCACGTGGTTCATTTATATTTTTTTACATGATATTTTATCAGAAAAACTCAAAAATTAAAAAATATAAATAAAATCTAAGAAAGTGTGATTCTTTTTTTAAAAAAAACTTACGTTGTTGAAATTATACGTATTTTAAAAGTAAAATTAATAAAAATTAATGAGAAAATAAAAATATAAAATAATCCATAAAAACAAAAATAAAAAATTTGAGTTCTTTATCGCAATCTTATTAAAAGAAAGAATTTAGATTTCCATTTTTACATTTTGTTACGATTCTTTAGATTTTTTAACACATTATTAAGAAAACTTGATTCAACGAAAATTTCAATAAACCATGAGAATTAAGAAATTAAATTGATCAAAAAATAATAAAAAGTGAAAGAAATTTAATATAACAAAAGACTAAAACAAGTACTAAATCATCATAGGATTGTATTTGGTATTAGTAAAAATTCTTTCTTTTTTATCCAAATTTCAAGTATTAGTAAAAAATCACGCTTTGAACACCAGAGTAAATTGTTTCTCGTATTTTGAAAGCCAAAATATAATTTTAACCATTATGATGCAAGAAGGTAGCACTTGGTCTGACTGTAAGCAGGCAAGTGAGAATCCTCTTCGTTTTGCTAAATATTATTGAGAAGTCCACCTTCATACTCACCCTTTCTTCTCTCAACCACCGGCACTGCAACTTTCCCCGCTGCTCTCATTTTCATTTCTCTCACCTGCACGGCATCCCCAGACAGTTACAACTTCCAGCCCACATTGAAACGCAATCATTTACAAAATTACAATGCCATTCAAGCACCACTGAGATTGCGCAATGCAATGCAGTCCAGATCAAGGCCAGGACAATGCATCGGTCAAAATTCAAACATCATTAAGGTAATCGAACCACTCTACAATCATCATGACCCGAATCAATATATAAAGATGAGCAATAAATTACAAACATCTCTTCATTTTGGGAAAAGAAATGAGAGATCCAGATAAGAAAAAAAAGAAGAAAAGAGCGGATTTCATTTCCATCTACATTAAACAGAAAAACGAACAAATCAAGCAAGAGATGAGGGAACGTGGGCACCTTGAATTGCAGAAAGGAAGAAGCAAAGAGGGATGCTGGACCCAATCTCTGCAGCATTAGCAACTTTTAAAAAAAAGGGGGTATGGATTGGAAGAAAAGGATGGGGGATTAGGGAAGTGAAAAGGTGGAATTGGGGGTTATGTCAGCGACATCATCCTTCTCTTTTGATCTCACAATTTACGTTGCTTTGATTCAATTGAATAAACAACGATATACCGAATGGAAAGAAAGGGATGGGTTCAGTGAACGGATGGGATGAGCAGAAACAGAACATGCATATTTGCAAGTTGCGGGTGGTTTTGGAAGTTTATGAAGCCAGAATTGTGTGTTCCAAGGTTCTTCACCCTTCCCTTAATTCTACCCCTTCTATTACCTCTCTCTGCCCACAGATTTATTTCGACAAAAAAACATTTCCTTTTTTAAAATCGTTTGATTTCATATACCATTAGCATTACCATAATTGTAATATTACTTTCTTAATATTTTTTTTTCTATTTTTGTTATGTTATTTCGAGTACGGAAACATATACACAATTTTCTTTACTAATTACTCTATCTCGACTTAATTTTTTTATCACGAAACAATATTCACTAAACATAAATATCAAGAAATCAGATGATGGCCCACACACAAATTAGGGGCTAAACTCTCGAGATATATCAAACAAATTATTTCACGAGATATGCTCTCCAGATTAATTGCTCAAATAGGGTGAATCTACAGTGGCCGTAGGTCGCCATGCCATCGGCGACCTACTAGGTCGCCATGTCTCCTAGCAAGCTATGAGAGATGCATGTGCCATGCACGTTCCAACACGCGGGCATCCGAGGGCATCCGACCGAGGCTATCCGAGCGTGAGGGCATCCGAGGGCAAGAGGAATCACGCGAGGAGCAGGAGGGAGTGCATAGCGACTACAAGTCGCCCGAGCATGACGACCTACGGCCAATATGTAGATTTTACCCTATTTGAGCAATTAATCTTAGGAGAGCATTATCTCGTGAAATAATTATTTGAAAAGTTATCTCGAGAGTTTAGCCCAAATTAGGGGTCGATACGTCATCAATAGAAGAACAAAACAAAAGCAATACCCTACTACACATCAATAAATACAGACATGAAAAAGAAAACACTTCAAAGTATAGACAAACGTTACCGTAAGATCATCTTGCTTTTTCTTAGTCCTTTAGGTAGTGAGAGAGCTCCAAGTCAAAAGACGTTTTTTCATCTGTAAGAACAATTACCGTAAGATCATTAATAATACATGAAAAATTAAAGAGAATTTAGAAGCAAAAATTAATTCAATTCATTTGATTGAAGGTAAATTTCTTACCTAAAAGAGATCACATGTTTAGGATTCTCGTGCTAATTAGAAAATAACACCAAAGCACGAATTAAGTAACTGTAGTAATGAATTGTGTTATTCCTGACGACCCAAATTCAAGCGCCATAGATGTTAGGGGTCTGAATATTAAATATCAAAAGGTTGAGAGTTATCTCTAAACAAATATTATATATATTACCCTAAACTAATAAAAAAAATAACAAACATACACTGATAACACTAACAAACAAATTTTGAACTATACATCAAGCCATAACAAAAATCATCTTAAAATTTTCTAAAGCAACTTGATGAGAAGTAAAATGACAAAAATATTTTAAAAATGGTGTTAATTTTTAAAAAAATCACCAGAGCAATTAAATCATTTGAGAGAAGCTAATGCATTATTAAGAGAGAGATAAATCTGTAAACTAAACAAGAACAAAAGAAAATAGGTTAACGAATGACTCGATGGAAAAAAAAGGGAGAAAAAAGAGAAAAAAATCGCATATTTTCTTTTAACCCTTTGAAAGCTACCGATGTAAGGAGTACTATATCACTCAGCATAAACTAATCTTCAAAAAGGTTGAAAATCGAGAGAGGTAACTTCCATCAAATAACCCAAAAAATCATTTCAAATTGATCCAAACAAAATGAAAAGAAGAAAATTTCAAAATAAAAAAAATTAAACAAGAAGAAAAGGTTGATCAACACTCGCGAATGCTCCGTTGGAGAATGATTCTTCCTAAGTATATTATGAAAAGAGAAAAAAACTTAAAATCAACTCAACTGATAGGAGGTAAATTCTTTATTTTTTTTAAAAAGAGACCATATATTAAGGTCTTCTCCTATTAAGAAAACACCAATAATAGCAACAAAGGGTTATGAACTAGTCCTCGAGCGATAAAAAAATCACCTTGAAATCTTCAATGACTGATGAGAAATTAAAATAACAAAAAGATTATTAAAAAATTTTGAATAAGAATTCACAGAGCATTAGATCATTCGAGAGAAGCTAATGCATTATTAAGCGAATAGATAGGCCTTCGAACCTGCAAAATAGAAAAGAACAAAAGGAAATTAGGCTAACGAATGATCAGTGGGAAAAAAGAGAAAAGAAACAACATCATATCCTCCTTTGACACCTTGAAATCGATGCAAGGAGTTATATAGCTCAACGCAAGCTAATCTTCCAAAGGAGTTAAACAGGTGTCGAGAAAAATAACTCCCATCAAGTAAGCCAAAAAAACCATTTCAAATTGATCCACAAACCTGAAGAAGAAAGAGAAAAATGAGAAATTTTAAACAAGAGAAAAAAAGGTTGATTGACACTCGCGATAAGTCAAGTTAAAAAAGATGCTTCCTGAGTAAAAATTAAAGAGAGAAAAAAAACTTAAAATCAACTCAATTGATAAGAGGTAATTTTTTTAAAAAAGTCAAATCTATTTAAAGCAGTTGTGCTAATTGAAAAAACCACCAACAATAGAAACAAAGATCATGAGTAGTCATCGAACAATAACAAAAATCACTTGAAATTCTCAACAACAACTCGATGAGAAATTAAAATAACAAAAAAATTCAAAAAAATTCAAAAAAATCGAATAGAATTCACCAACGTCATCAAATCATTCGAGAGAAGCAAGGCATTATTAAGGGAAGATATAAGCCTTCAAACCTGCAAAATAAAGAACAATAGAAAATAGAGTAAAATGACCATTCGAAATCTTACCAACATAAGGATTATATCGCTCAGCACAAGCGAATCTACAAAAGGGTTGAATAGGGGTTGAGAGGTAACTCCCATCTTGTAAGTAAAAAAAATCATTTGAATTTATCCAAACCAAATGAGAAGAGAAAAAATTAAGAAAAATTCGAAAGAAAAATTAAACAAGAAAAGGGGTTGATCAACACTCGTGCTAACGTCCCATTAGAGATGATGCTTCTGGTATAAAATGAAAGAGAAAAAAAACTTAAAATCAACTCAATTGATAGGTGGTAAATTTTCTTTATTTTTTCAAAAGAGACCAGATTTGTTTAACGCCTTAATACTAATAAGAAATAGCACCAACAATAACAACAAAAGATTATGAACTAGTCATCGAGCGATAAAAAAATCACCTTGAAATTCTCAACCATGACTCTGAAGAGAAATTAAAATAACAAAAATTATTTGAAAAAATCGAATAAGGATTAGAGCTATCATATATTGAGAGAAGTCAAGACATTATTAAGGGAAAAGATAAACCTTCAAACCTAAAAATAAAAAAGAACAAGATAAATGGATACAAATGACTCAGTGAAAAAAAGGGAAAGAAAAAAGAATTTCTTCTGACCCCTTAGAAATCTTACCGACATAAGGAGTATTATATTAACGCAAGTGAATCTTTAAAAAAGGTTGAACATAGATCGATAGATAAATCTATCAGTAAGTAAAAAGACATTCGAATTGATCCAAACAAAATGTAAGAGAAAAGAAAATTCGAAAAAATGGGTTGATCGACATTCACGATAATGCCCGTTGAGAATATTACTTCTTGAGTATAAAAAGAAAGTGAAAAACAAAATAAATTCAATTTATAGAAGGTAATATTATTTTTTGTTCAAAACAAACCATATTATTAATGTATAATACCAAAAAATTTAGCTAGTGGCCAAATGAATAAATTGAAAATTTATTGGTCAAAGTATAACTCAGGAATAGTTTAGGGGCTAAATTGTAATTTTTAAAAGTATGTATTTAATCCTGTAAATGGATAATTTATCTCAAAAATAAAATTTTTGTGTCACTCAGATTTTCGTATGGAGTTTATATTAAAGCTATAAGCGTTAAAGTTCGAGAAAAATCAGATAATCGGATTGTATCGAATAATTAAGATATTTTAAGGATGATAAGGCAAGGTTAATAATGTCATTTTGCCTTAAAAATGGTAGCAATTAATGGATCATTGGATTTAAGTTGTTTTTCCAAATAATATGGATCATTAGATGAAAAATGGCAAGATTGTAATTTTAGAAAAGTACAAAGGCAAAGTTAAAAGTTATCGATTTTTTGTTTTTTAATTTTGTATGAATAAATTCAACATGGTAAGCTATGGAGAATTTGATTTCAAGGGCAAATGATAATTTGATATTAAAATAATTTTAGTTCATTTTAGTTAATAAAAGGACAAATGGCTTAGATTTTCCAAGAATTTCATGACATTTTATATCCATCTTCTTCCATTTCCGTGAACCCTCCCTAAGGTTTGAAAACATTTTTTTATTTTCAAGTCAATTTATTATAAATTTGGATGAAAACATGAAAATAAATGGTTCTACATGAAATTCTTATCATTTGATAATGTTTATATGCTTTAATTCTCTAATTGGTCGACTGTGTCGTATTAGATTAGGGTGTTACAATTCTATTCTTCTTCCTGCTAGAGTTCGATCGAAGAAATATGGATATTGTCGAGACACAACATTATTCTCGAAGCCTTTTTTCAAGATTTTCACAAAAAGTCGAATTTTCCATATATTTTTGGATTTAGGGTTGATGAAAAATCAGAATCTCAAACCCTTATTATAGCCCAATTCTAACGTCTATAATACAAAAATCTGGAGGAACACCTCGAGTTCTAAGTAACAGTTGTACAACTGTCCGTTGTCTAACGGCTAGTTTTTTTTAATCCGAAGTAACTCCTCACTTCTTTTAATTTCTAATTTAATTTTTTTAATAATAAAAATATTTTTTTATTATTAAAAATTAATATTTAAAGAAACTCATTCGAGTACACTACAACGAAGGCCGTATATCCCTAATTAAAATATGGGGAAATCTAAATGCTGTGTTGGGCCAAAAAAGCCAATTTTATGTCTAGCAATCAGCAACATGGTTTTCAGAACCGGATCGGTTGGCGAACCGATCATGCTACCGGTTCACTGGTTCAATCGGTTAAACTGATCCTATCGTCGGAAAATCGGACGACATCATAATTATTTAAAAAATTAAAAAAATACTAAAAATATTTAATAAAAAATATTTTTATATCACAAGTCATATTCAAAGTAAATCATAACTATATAAGTTAAAAACCATAAAATCAAGTGAAACAAAATGATTCAAATTAATTAACATAATATTTAAGGTAAACATATTAATATAAATATAATTATATAACTATAATAAAAAATAAATTTGGGACTAAAAAATCATAACAAAATGATATTGTTTGGTTTAATTTTTTTTTAAACAATCTCACATGGTTAAGAACATAGAAGAACATCACATAAGTCTAAAGAGTAAAATATGATAATAAAACAATCTCACAGACTAAGAATATAGAAGAACATCTTAACTAACTTCTATAAATAAATGTAATTGACATTAAAAATCATGGAGCCTTTTGGTGAGCATAGAGTGAACTATTCTTTCACTTCAATCAAGCTCGAATTTTAGGCTTCAATCGAGCTTTTAATTTTTTTTGAGTTCGAGCCTTTTCGAGTTCAAGTTTCAATATTATATTTCGAGTTCGAGTTGAAGTTGATAATTTTTAGCTCGTGAATTTGAGTCTAGTTGAGCATACTTTTAAAGTTTTCAAGTACGAGTAGAGCTCAGCAATACTCGAGTTCGACTCGGCTCGTTTAACAAACAATGTTGTTTGGTTTAATTTTTTTAAAAAAAAATTGACGGTTCAACCAATTTTCAATCGGTTCACGGTCCAGTCCGGTTCGAACGATTCAGCAGTTCCGTCCAATTCAATAGTAACAATTTAACCGGATTACAATGAACCAAATCAGACAGTGATTCTCAATTGAACCGACCGGTCCGGCCCGATTTTCAAAACACTGATCAGCAGCTGGCTTCTCTAGCTCTCAAGAGGCTCGTCTCATCGAACATACTGCCAAGCTCCTTGCGCCTGGTCCGCCCAATTGTCACCGCTCCGTCCACCTCCACAGTCTCTAGCACCAACGCCATGCTTGATGGTAACGGTTTCAGTCCGTCCATGGATCTGTTTCTCATTTAGAGTTTATTTCTTTCTTCTGATTATAAAAAATTGATGCTTGTTTTTTGGCCCTTCCGTTTTTCGTGTTGCAGACGTGTTTGATCTTCTCTCTCCGACAAGGAGGCCGAGCCAAGTCGTGAACACGAGAGACCAGTTGATGAAGAACCCATTTTTCTCCGCTTCCCGTGGCATGTCAACGCTTACGAAAGGCCGAGTCAAAGAATCAAATGATAGGGAAACCGACGAGCAAAAAAATATCCTTCGCCCGTTATCTCCTCATCTTCCTATTTACAAGCCACAGCTTAATTCAACGCTTTCAATCACCAAAAGAATCTCCGGGGCTTTCCTAACCACTCTGCTTTTGTTTCTTATCTTCTTTCTCTGAAATTGGGTTCGGTTTGCTTAACCATTCTAGTTTCTACCGATTCTTCTTTTATTCAGCAAAGCTTTTCCTAGTTTCCGCCTCGGTTTCTGCCTTAGCCCTGTCCTATCATACGTATTATGGGATTCGTCATTTATTGATGGATTTGCTCAAAGTGGGTGTTCCTAAGGTCAAGTGAGGTGGAGAGGAATGATGTGATTCAGTTTCAAATCGACTGATTTGCTGGCCGAGTGGACTTTTTGTGGTACCAACTTTGTTTGGGAAAATAAGGGCTTGAAAATAATAGCATGAAAAGCGTTAATGCTCTTTTTCTCTTGTTGAAATACGAATGTGTGTTGGTGTTGAACCTTCAAAACCCGGTTAATGCTAAAAGGCAAAAGCTTCTTTGAACTTGTTAATTTAGTGATCCCAGTGAACAAGGTTTTAGCATTCTGTTTATCTCTTGAAAGTTTTGAGGTTTTCTTTTCATACATTTCCTTTGGTTAACTCTGTTTGTGTTGCAGACAGACATGGTTTATGAATTGCTATGTACAGAAACCTTGTATGTCTCAATCCATCTTCTTTATTATACATCTTTATATATATATATATATATATATACTGTAGTATTTTATGATCGTATCAAAATGGGTCCTTAATAAAAGCATGGCTGATGGCCATCAGTAAGGCATTTAGGCACTTTCCAGCTTCGACCAGGAATCAGTTCTAGTCATAACTCGCATGTTATCAGTTAGATTGTTCTATACATGCTAGGAATGTATTGAGAGTTTCGATTCAAAACTGGACGGTTTTCCAGATCGAGAAGTGTCATCTCAGTTATTAGGTGACTAGATTTATTTCCCTAATCACTTGTACTCTGGATAAAGGTTGAAGAAGATGCACTACTTTTAACTAGTGCATTGGATTTGAAATTTGGAGTCAAATAACACTTTCCATATCTTCTTTGACTTGAGATCTCTCAGGACTTCGATTCTTCATATCTTTGATTTTCTTCCCTGAAAGTCTTCAGTTTTCCTTTCCCATTTTGCAGCAGTTGCAACTTATGTACCCCGGCCTCATAAGAATGCCTGCCGCATTGTATCTAGGCAAGAGACATGTAACAAGTGAGAAAATCCTGTCATTTTCAAATGTTTATTGGCATTTAAATAAATAAATGAATTTTGTATGATTAGAAGGGGTGCAGTTCTAGACAGCATTTACAAAAGTTGTTAGATGGCATGAAAGTAGGGGTGTTCATTCGGTTAAAACGGTGGCCGACCGAACCGAATTAACCATAATCGAATTAACTAATTTTTTTTCTTTAACCGTTAATCGAACCGAATTTTTTTTCGAACATATTAACCGAACCGAATAAATTTCGGTTAATTCGGTTAATTTCGAATTAACCAAATTTTTTTTAAAATTTTCTAATTTATATAAAAATTAAATATTTTTTAATTCAAAAAAAGTTTATAATTAATTTAAATAATATATAATTATAAAAAAAAATTTTAGATAAATTTTTTAATTAATTAATATTGATTTAAGTTTAAAAGTTATTGGATTTAAATTATTAATTGGGTTTTAAATGGTTTGGGCTTAGGCCATATGTATATAATATATTTAATATTTTTAATTAAAAAACAGTTTACAAATAATTTAATAATATATATTATAATAAAAATTTATATTTTTTAATTAATTAATATTGATTTAAGTTTAAAAGTTATTGGATCTTAAATTATTAATTGGGTTTTAAATGATTTGGGTTGAGCCCATATGTTATATAATATATTTAATATTTAAAATTTAATTTCGGTTAATTCGGTTAATTAACCGAATTCGAACCGAATTAACTGTTAATCGAATTCTAAAAATTTTCTTAACTGTTAACCGACTGAACTAATTCGATAACTGAACCGAATTAATCGATCTAATTCGGTTAGATCGGTTAACCGAATTAGTTCGGTTATTTGAACATGAAAGGCAATGAAATGAGAATGGTCAAACTGCCTACGGGAAGCTTCTTTGAGCCAATAGGTACAGATAATAAGTAGTTTAGCCTCGGCCCTCCAACCACATAGTTGAGGCCCACCATACTACTTGCTTGGCCAGGGGAGTTGTGGGTCCAATTAAACTAGTTAATAATAATAACAATAATGGTGGTGCTAGTGTGCCACCAAAGATAATGACACATTATTATTAAAAAACCCTAAAAATTGTCATAATAATAATTCTATTAATTTTTAACGGTGAGTTATCAAAATGTAATTAAAACATAATTAGATATATTTTGAAAAAATAATAATTGGATGACTAAAATGGTACAAAGATGATAATTATGTACTAAACTTGTAGTTTACCCATAAATTATATTTATATATATTTGAAAAATAGTAACTGGATTCTATTAATAAAAATAGAGAAATTAAAATTATATCGCATACAAAGAGAAAATTGAAGACAATAGTCACTAAAAACTCGTACATAAAATAAAAATACAAAACCCAAAGATACGAATAGAATGAAATCTTCCAAACATCAAAACAATCTAGTAACTTTCATAAAACTCCTTGTCTCTATCAAACGAGACGTCTTACGATATGATAAAGGAGTGGTGAGCGAACCAAACAATTCGGTAGACTGCTTCGCTACACAATTCTGATTATTTCGGCAAACTACCATTTACAAAAGATGGAATCTGACAATACGTGACCACCGACAAATCAATCAGAAAACAAATGTTGTGAGGATCTTTGAGGAAGCACCAACACGACCGTAGAAGTATGCAAAAAACTTACCGAAAACCATATGGAACGTGCCACAAGAATAGAAAAAAAGCATGCCACAAAAGCAGAAAAAAAAGCATGACACAAAAATATAGAAAAACATGCACAAGGATAAAGATTTTTATTTAAAAGTGAAAAAACTCAAGAAAAAAGAAACAAAGATATAATATGAAAAAGGAAAAAAATAATAATAATCACCGGTTGTCAGTAACTGATATTAAGATTGGTATCGCTGATGATTAAACAAAAAAGAAGAAGAAGAGAAAAAGATAGCACAAAAATATTGAGAGAAAAAATTAAGTTAAAAAACCCTTAGTTGGTTTTTTCTTTAAAAAACCATATATTAAATATATAATAAGTGATGTTAGTTAAAATTCACATTAAAAAATAGGTATGCTTCGATATAATCATAGATTGGTTTATGATTCCTTCCAACATAAAATGAAAATAAGACTCTTTTAATAAATTTAAATAATGAATAAAAATTAGAATATGAATGAAATCAAAATTAAGATAGTCCATGAATTCCTTAGGATCATTGATTCAATATCATAAATTATTATGAGTTATAAGAAGAATTTTTAAGTTCATAGTTTACGAAATGAAAAAATATCAATTAATATATAAATGGATAAAATAATTGGTTTTTGTAAAGAAAGAATCTTAAAAAAAAAAATAGAGTGAGAGTGGTTTACCCTTTTGGAGCATGGCCTGTACTTGTGGAGTGAATATATAGAGACCACGTAGACCTAGTTTCATCCGTTTGATTGGCTTGCAATTGCAATCATAGCCATAGGTTTAAAGATTCGAACAAGAGGTGTGTTGGTAGATAACATGCGTTGACCCTTCTCTCGCTTAGCAAGTTTGCATGTATTGTGGGTCAAAAGACAGAGCCCCTGTACCAAATCAATATTTGGGAACTCTAATTTAATTAAGGGAATGATCACATAAAACAAATCCCATTCTTGACGCGAACTTTCCGAAGAATTTTCCAGGAATTATTGGAGTCGTGTTGAAGCAAGTAAGCCAATATTAGTCAACAATACATTCTAACTTTCTTCTATCAACAACCCACCTAAATTATTTAATATATGGCATAAAAATGGCCGAGCACATATTACAAAATTGAGCGTGATTCTTTGTCAACCCTTTGCAGCTGCCATGGCCGCCGGTCAGATAGCCTACACAGGACAAGAAATCGCTCCGGCGGTGCCCCTGTGGTTAAACAAAGGAGACAACGCATGGCAAATGACGGCATCGACTCTGGTGGGAATTCAGAGCATGCCTGGACTTGTAATCCTCTATGCGAGTATCGTGAAGAAAAATGGGCAGTAAACTCGGCTTTCATGGCCCTTTATGCCTTTGCTGCGGTTCTGATTTGCTGGGTCCTTTTAGTTACCGTATGGCCTTTGGTGACGAGCTCCTCCCTTTCTGGGGAAAGGGTGCACCGGCTCTTAGCCAAGGCTATCTCGTTGGCCGAGCCAAAGTCCCCGAGAGGGTCGCCACCGACCCTCTTTATCCCATGGCAACGCTTGTGTATTTTCAATTCACTTTTGCTGCTATTACTCATTCTGCTCGCTGGTTCGGTTCTTGCTCGTATGGATATCAGAGCATGGATGGCGTTTGTGCCACTTTGGCTTATATTCTCCTATACCGTCGGAGCTTATAGCCTCTGGGGCGAGGCTCTTTTCCGATGGGGTGCCATCGATTACTCCGGCGGATACGTGATTCACCTCTCCTCCGGGATCCGGTCTCACAGCTGCATACTGGGTAGGCCCCAGGATCAAAAGCGACAGAGATCGGTTTCCTCCCAACAACGTCCTGCTGATGCTCGCGGGTGCCGGGCTTTTATGGATGGATGGTCGGGGTTCAAGGAGGAGCCCCGTACGCTGCAACATCGACTCTTCAATAGCAGTACTCAACACAAATGTGTCCGCAGCAACTAGCATTCTCGTCTGGACATGTCTCGATGTATTCTTCGGGAAGCCTTCCGTTATCGGCGCCGTTCAGGGAATGATAACCGGACTCGCTTGCATCACGCCGGGAGCAGGCTTGGTGCAATCATGGGCCGCTATAGTCATGGGAATGCTTGCCGGCAGTGTTCCATGGGTATCCATGATGATCATTCACAAAAAAAGCAGCTTGTTACAAAAGGTTCGTCGACCGTACAATACTCGTACTCATCTAATTTGACCAGCTGTTGGTTTCATCTATTTTCTCCATTGAAATCTATTCACATTAATGTCTAGAAAAGATTAAAATTCGGTAGCCGATTTTGACTTTGACAACACGTGGGAACTGAGAATTGTCCAAGGTCATTGAATTTGGGGTGGTCCTGATCCCAACCTAAATGTTCACATTTGATTTTTGATCCCACCACAATGACCAAACGCCATAAATGTTGAATTATCACCTCAACTTGCAAATGATTTAATTAATTTTCCAGTATCTTTGGCTGGTGGAATTGTGAGCACTTTTATTTATACCATATCATTAGCATAGCAGTTAATTGTTGACCATTATTCAGTACCCTAATGTCGAAGCCATCAAAGCTACTTGATTGTGATGTTTTCACACTTTGCATAATCATATGGCCACAGGTAGATGATGCTCTGGGTGTATTTCACACGCACGCGGTGGCCGGCCTGATGGGCGGTCTCGTGACTGGGC